GTTGGGAAACTAATTTATATTGGTTAGTAGGTCTTTTTACCCCATTAAGAAATTCGATTTTCTTAGGTAATCTATCTCTATATTTGGTTATTTGAGCGGTGCCTATATAAAAGGTGCCTCTTTTGTTGAATTACAACACCTACTATCATTTATTATAATTGAAAATCTTAAGTTGATTATTGAGGTCTGAATTCTTTGTCTAATTCTCTGTCTGATTTCTCCCTAAGTTTTAGGTTTAAACCCTCTATGTTATACATCAATTAGTATTACAGCCTAACTCATTTGGCTACAATTGATACTTGATAGTCAGCCAAAATGCTAGTTATCCAAGCATGACATAAAGCCTTCTGGATTCGCAATATTGAAAAATGTTAAATCTGTCAACCTACCTGGAAGTCTGGCCACTGCCAAATCAGGGTTTAACTGCTCTTATAATCATACGTTTGGGTTGTCGACCGACCAAACCACAGAATCTAAATCCATTGAATACCATTGCATCATTTATTAAATAAAAAAGTTAGCTCACTAGAAATCTACCTTCCCAGCCACATTATAACAAACCAACCACCATTTCCGTGGAGTCTCCCCGAAAACTTATTCTTTTCTATTAATAGTGTACCAGAAATGAGATACTCCGCAAAGAAACCTGCAAGTGAGTCTCTACAGTTTTTCAAATCAAAATATTAAACATTGCACCAGTTCAGCGCTTAATCTAGCACATCCCAGCCAGTTCAACACAAACTGACCACCAATCTACAGTCCAAGGAGTCTTCTCTGAGAACCTTATTCTACCCAACCAATAATGTGCTTTGTTTTTGAATTTTATAATTTTCTTGAAAATTCTTCTCTATTTAAAAATTCAAAAATAAGACAAGAAAGAAAAGTGATTGCAAATGGGTCCAAAACACAACTGGCCTAATCGTGGCCTAAACATATTCTCCTAGTTAAAATATATCAAGCATATTGTTTCATTACAAAGCATGAGTTAATAGATGATTTAGAAAGTTTTTGGTCAAAGTAGATATCGACAGAAAATTCAAACAATTAAAATTCTACCAAATCTGCAAGCTTCTGACATATAAGCCTATCTGAGGATGCTATTTGGTGAGGAATCATGTACAGCAAAAAATAATATAGAGAAAAATTCTGCAGTAGATCTAAAAGTTGATGATCAAGTTTTGACCACTGATGTTGAAAATAGAAAGGCAAAAAATGTGACGAGCAATAATACTCCAAATTTTTTGTGTGCACCCAGTAATACCAAAAATGCACTTAAAAAATACACTAATTCTTCGGCTTGTTCATTTTGTACATCTACTTAGTTTCACATTTATCCGGAATCCGCTAGTTTAGCACCATTTTTCGGTTTTCATTAAAATCAAAATTTGCAAGTTTCAAGACCCTAAAGTACATCTTCAAATCTTCGACTTCTTAATGTAGTTATGAGCTTGCTAAGTTTGTCAAATTGAAAATTAGATGATTCATTTTCAATTTGATTCAAATAGTTATACAAAAAAGGACGGAATATTTCTTTAAAATTAAAAGAGAAAATGCAATTTAGATCTAAAAGGAAATAAAAAGATTCTGTTAATTCATGTATAGATCTCATTGATATGTATGTCAACAAATTTATATAATGTATCAGAATGGAATCTAAGATAATCCATGTGTGCATGCGTTTGGTTTCATCTAACCGAAATGGTACATGATATATAGGAAAATGTACTATCGAGGAGTTTTTAATTACGAATACATATGTATCCTTATCATACTGAGACATGAATAGAAAGAGAACGGATTGAATAGCATCTACTAACATCACCAAAAATATTGTTAAAATACTTTTAAGAGAAGGTTTTATCAAAATGTAAGGAAACATCGGAAAAACAACAAACATTTTTTTGTTTCAAGCCTGCGACACAAATGAAATAGGAAAGAACCATATAAAATTATTTTAAATTTAAAACGGATCAGTCGCCCTGGTTTACGACCCTATTCTAACTATCAACAAATTCCGAGAATTTTAGGTGGGGTGAGGAATGTAATCTTTTCTACTTCTCGAGATATAATAACAGACCGAGAGGCTCGACGAGAAAGAATCGGCGGAGAAATTTTGTGTTTTATATGGTAATTTTTCTGATATCTAAATTGTATCCGGACTTCCCATTTGTACAAAAAAGAATGACTGCCTAATATCATTCCATCGACATTAATTGATACTTTAAGGGTTTTTTTTTTAAATAAATACTTTTAAGGGGTTTTACCTGTAATGAAAAAAAAAAATAAGGGATTCATGAAGGTTTAGTTACTGAACTATTTCAAAATGGCATGCTCGGGGTTGGTTTAGATAATAAAGATCTAATTCTCAGTTATGTTTCAAGACAGATCCAACAGAGTTTTATACGTATACTTGGGAAATCAGAATTGAAGTAAATCCTTATGATTCAACCAGGGGCCATCCAATTGGAGAACAAGTTCGCTCCAAGTTCGGGAGAATTTTGCAATACAAGACACTAAAATGGAAGAATCATAACAGTAAAAGATAATTATTAAAATAGCGTGTAACTAGGTGTTGCATATATTACTAGGAATTTTTAGCTTATTTAAGAAGCATTTGTAGTTTAGAAGGTGAAAGGTTATGTGGGAAATTTATTAAATTTCTATAATTAGTTAGTGGTCTCTGTTCTAGCCTATGTTGCTCAAGCCCTTCAATTTTAATGCCACACCCTTGTCATATCTGCCACAATACTGGTGGTGCAGAGTCTATGTGATCCAGCACTAGAGGTTATAATATATAATCATGTGAAGATGATGATTGAGAGTCTTATGTTCAAGCGAAGATAAAATGGAGATTACCTGTTCTTAAATGTTTAAAATTTTTATTTACTTTTTCATATGAGTAATATTGAATTAGTTCAGTACCACTATTTAGTACTAATTTTTCCATTTTCACTACAAATTTGGAATTACTATCTTCTTTCACTAAAGATTTATTAGTGTTATGTCTGTAATATTGTCTTAGCTTCCTATAGCAATATTATAACTTTATCAATCTTCATATCAAACAAGTTCAACCACCCATAGGCACTTTTTGGTCTCTTATTCATTTAATCCCCGTATCTTTAAGTACAAAATCATCAAATCAAACACTTAAATCCATAACCATACTGGACATTCCCACATGAAGCCAAGCAACAGAGATTTTAGCTTAATTTCCTATTAGAAATTCCTATTCTGTTAGGCATTTTATTTTCTAAGTTTGGTTTTATGGCTGATTCTTATTGAAGGATAATTAAATAGTGTTTCCATTCGTGATTATTATTCAATAAATAGAGATATGTGAGTTGTTTATTAAAATCCAAGATCTTTGTTTAGTTTCTTTCTAGTTTGGGTTCAAGTTCCCCTTTCCCTAAATCAATAAGGACCAAATAGCAGCCTGGTACCTTTTCCTTGATAAGGTTTTTTTTTTTCCTTTTTGAATGAGAAACTTGGGGAGGAGAAAGAGAGTTAAAAGAACTAAAGAGAGATGGGAATATTGTGTCAGGAAAGAAGAGAGAGCCAGTTGAAACTCTTAATGTCCGGCCCATTCTATGGCTCAATCCTCTCCCTGACAAAATGATTTCTTGAGCTAACTTGCTGAAGCCCACAGGGCTTATTTCCATTCAAACAAAGAAACACAACATAGAAGCACGATTGATTTACCTGCTTCAGAAATTAAGTTCCAGTTGCTAATCACAGGTTCAGTTTGCTAAAACATCCAAGTAGTATTTCAATGTAAATTGAAAGGGAACATAACTTCATGCACATGTCCAAAAAAGCTGAAAATAAGTGGTAAAAATATCATCACATCACCACCGTCATAACTAAGAATACTATATATTTTACAATTTTAAATGTCTCGCTTAGGCCGTGGCATCCAAGGTTTGTTTAAGCAAGCATCCAAATAGTTAGCACAAAGATACACTGTATGCAATTACCTTAATCAGTTTACTGTTTGCAGTCAAATACTTTAATTTTGCTGACAATAGCCTCTTAAAGTCTGGAGGTGCCCAATAATGTTCCTGGCAAAAAAAAATAAATAAACAGGTATGTCAGTATATTGAGACTATACAAATTACTACTTTACAAAAATGTAAATAATGTATATATCAAACACTGACAGTATATAATGAACAAACAAGATTATACTTCTTCTTCTAATACTAATTGGATCGGCAAAGACAATTTATTAGGATGTAATCCATATTATCACACAGTCTCCACTATCATCATGCTACTATCTGATGATGAATTAGATAGAGAAAATAATGTCTCCGTAGTTTCACATGTTGAGGACAAATCACATACCTAAGAGCTAAGGTATGTACAAGATATCCTCTAAGTTATGCTAAATGCTTAAGAATTAAGCAAACATTCAAAGTGCAAAATCATGCAGAAGAAGTAGGACACTCAATCCTCAAAATATATCTTATCACATTACATGTAGTAATGAAAGTTGAATAAAGGCATTTAGTAGACAGATAGTAGAAAGTAACAAAAGGTGCATGGATAGAGAAACTTGACTCTGGTGCTAAACTTGTGAAGCCTCAAACTTAACCACAGCCAATTTGGGAGCCAAGGCTCTTCCAACCCACAATATAGAAAGAAAAACAGTAAGGAAGGATGTAATCTGCCAAACCTTCACTGTAACAAGTAATGGTTTATGTCCAACCACACATGGCAACACAACAATTATATTCACCTCCAACCAAATAACACCATCCCCACAGGGTAAATAGAGAAATACCTCTATATAGGAAGCAATATTCGTCTTATTAGAACCACCAGGCTCCTTCAAGGTACTTATAGCCTCCATTATAAGGCTATCCAATCTGTAATATTGAAATAAAACAACCAGTCATGCACCCGAATAAAAAAAAAGCGGCACAAAATGCCATTGCTCTATTCGTAACACAAACAAAACTGCAACTAAGGAAGGCACACTTTTCCAAGTAAGAAACCAGACATATATGCAGTAAAATGAATAATAGATGGCAGGAATGACAGAAAATGAGGAGGGAAATAGTTAGTTGCTTGAACTTGCTTATCCGTGTTTTAAGCAAGAATTCTATGGATATAAGCTTGAACAGAAAAAGGTGGTAACTGATCAGTATCTGAGAATGAACGCAAATTCGACTCTTCGCTCTTGGTCTCTCTCCCTCTCTTTGATTCCCCTCTCTGTCACTCTCTAAATAAGCTTTTCTCTCTTGTTCTCGTAATTTACCACATCAATCTTCAGTTCCAATTCACAATTATTTAAAAAATAACAAGCCAATAAGCACTTGGTTAACAATAATCAGCAGTCAATAGGAAGACATGGATAATCTGGCAGAAGAACAAATACACCTACTGAATTCACTGAAAAAGCCTTTTGATCTCTTCCATACATATATGTGTGTGTGCATGTATTCAAGTAGAAGAACAAGTACACCTAGTCAATTCACTGAAGAACCAATTTGATCGCTTATATATATAAAGCATTGAAAAAGGATCAAGCAGAAAGAAGTCAAAACAATAGGAACGCCCAAAGGACGCACTCCAAGGTCATTTGAAGATATTTTATCTAGTCCGAGAAATTATGCACGAAATCCTCATCACGGGTATTCATGACAATGATGCCACAAACTTTCTCTCGCAGAAACTGATAAACACATTTTAATCAAGTTAGTAAACCTACAGGAGATAGAGAACTCCACAATAATCTACATATTTAGATTATATCTATGGAAATAAATGAAGAATAAGATTGCTTATTGAGAATATACTTGCATATGAGGGGGGAAAAGTAATAGCTACCAGGCAATGCACGAAAGAAGTCCAAAAAGGAGTCAAGTTACAGACCAACACCACTCGCATATATACATTCTGTTGAAGAATTTCTATCTAGTCCAATCATACATGAAAAGATCCATATATGTATATACATATATGTATGCATATATGATATAATTACGATCATTTGCAAGATCATGATCTACACTCCACAATCAAGCTATATTAAGCATTTAAGTTAGAGCAAGTTCAGATCATTCTGTTGAAAAAAAAAATGTCACAAGTGTAGATGAACACACTGTTCTTAGTATATTACAATGCATGCATGCATGCAGGCAGGAGCGACTAACATACCAAAGCCTTCAGTTCTAT